TGTGTGGGTCCTGGCGTGGGAGAGGTGGTGTGTGTGCGTCCTGGCGTGGGAGAGGTGCTGTGTGTGGGTCGTGGCGTGGGAGAGGTGCTGTGTGTGGGTCGTGGCGTGGGAGAGGTGGCGTGTGTGGGTCGTGGTGTGGGAGAGGTGGCGTGTGTGGGTCGTGGTGTGGGAGAGGTGGTGTGTGTGGGTCGTGGTGTGGGAGAGGTGGTGTGTGTGGGTCTTGATGGTGGGGGGGTGACGTGTGCAGGTTGTGGGCCTCGATGTTCCCAGCCCCTCAGAGTGAACGTGCCCCCTGTCCTGCTCCCGCAGTGGTTCCTGTGCCCGGCTGCGTGGCAGGCTTGAGGCAGGGCTGTGTGCAGAGGGCTTGAAGTTCAAAGCACAGTGGTTAGGAGAGTTGAGGATGGAGGGAGAGCAGGTGCTGTTGGTATTAATGTCACCACTCAGACGGATTCATTTCTCTTGTTCCCACTCTAGTCCTCCTCCGTCAAAGAAAATGAAGCTGTTTGGGTTTAAGGAAGACCCGTTTGTGTTTATCCCTGAAGATGACCCGTTATTTCCGCCGATAGAGTAAGGGGCAATTCGTCCTTTTCACTTCCTGGTTTAAAGGCGTTCCAGGGCGGAGTGTGCAGCCTGGTCACCTGGAGCCCCTGCTTTGTGCTCCGCTCTGGGGGGCTCCTTCCCCTTCAACTGATGTAAAGCTAGATGAGACATTAGACCCCGGTTGTTCCGCCCCTCCGATTAGCTGAGTGGTCATCCAGCGAGGCAGCTGCCCACAGTCAAGGTGACAGTGAGCTGGTTCTGAGCACTGTCGGTTGCGTGTGTAGAGAGGAAGGGTCAGGCCGCCAGTCCCAGTGGTCCCATTCCAGTTCAGTGGGTCCTGGCTAGGCAGACTGAGAAGAGAGGTTGTCCCATTTGCACATTCATTTACTGAATTACCCTTGACATCAGTCTAGAAATTTTTCAGGAGCCTCAGGAGTGGTGTGGGCAATGGGGTCGCAGCATGGGGAGACAGGGTGTTTGTGTAGAAGTCCTGATTGGGCGGCTGCAAAAACTGCGAGGAGGCCACATGTTCTGACCTCCTCTAATCTCACAAGAGGAAGACAGCAGTAACCCAAGGCCTATTATTGCAAGGCCAAACATGCTGCCTCCCTCCAGCCCTTTCTCCAACCGTTCCTCCCAAAGCACCCACCACCTTTCTCCAGGGTTCGATAATTCACTGCAGTGGCCACACAGAACTCACAGATTACAGGGTATATTAGGGAAGCACCAGGCTACAACTCAAGTTCAGGAAGAACGCTCAGTCTCTCTCCCAGCCCACTGTCCCTCAGCCAAGAGTCTCTCACAGTCTCTTCCTGGGGTGCGTGTCTCTTGCGTTTCTTTCCCAGCAACGCGTGTCTCAGGAGCCCGTGTCTCTTTCAGCAGCAAGTCTTCCTCAACCAGCAGTCCAAGAGAGTGCCTCCTTTTGAGCCCGGCAGGGTGGTCAAACTAACCAATTATAGCATCAGAACTCTAAGCACCTGAGAGAGAGTGGGCACCTCCCAGAACATTGTTTTGTGCCACTCCCAACAGAAATACTCCAGGTGGACACCTTCAGCAATCAGGAGCTCCTCACTTGCTCATAGATCCCACCTTGGAGTTTACAAAGACCATGGGTAGAAAAGCCACACAAAGTAATTTACTACACTGCAGCGGCCCCCGTAAACACCATGTGGCAGCCCCAGGCAAGGCTGGATCATTCAAGAAACCCCCAAGTGTGAGCGGTTGGAGTCTGGGGCAGGCGCTGCAAGCCAGCGAGGTCAGATCACACAAGATGCCCACTAGTGTAAGCTGTCAGAGTCTGGGGCAGGTGTTGAAGGCCGGATCACGTGAGATACCCCCAATGTGAGCAGGCGGAGCCTAGGGCAGGCCTTGGAGGCCAGATCATGCGAGATGTCCCCCAGTGTGAGTGGTTGGAGCCTGGGGCAGGCGTTGGAGGCCGCATCATGTGAGGTATCCCCAGTGTGAACTGTTGGAGCCTGGGGCAGGCGTTGGGGGCCAGATCACGCAAGATACCCCATCAGTGTGAGCAGTCAGAGCCTGGGGCAGGCCTTGGAGGCCAGATCACACGATACGTCCCCCAGTGTGATCTGTCAGAGCCTGGGGCAGGCCTTGGAGGCCGATCACACTAGATGTCCCCCAGTGTGAGCTGTCAGAGCCTGGGGCAGGCCTTGGAGGCCGGATCATGTGAGATATCCCCAGTGTGAACTATTGGAGCCTGGGGCAGGCCTTGGAGGCTGGCCCCCATGTTTTGACGCCCTCGTATAAGCAGCCTCTGTTCTGCTCGTAGGAAGTTTTATGCTTTGGACTCTTCGTTCCCCAAGATGAACTTGCTGACACGCACGACGGAAGGAAAGAAGAGGCAGCTGTACATGGTCTCAAAGGAGCTGAGGAACGTGCTGCTGAACAATAGTGAGAGGATGAAGGTGCGCTGTGTGGTGGGGCCATGGGGTCCACACTCTGTGCCTGGGCTCCTCTCTGCCTGTTTGCCATGGGCTAAGAACACGTGGGCTGCCTCCTGTTGTCAGAGCCTTGGCCGTTGTGGCCCTGAAGCCAGGGGCGTGGGCGTGGTCCTGCCAGAGTCTTCCTTGACCGTCCCCTCAGCGGGCGGGCTGCTCAGCACCACCGATGCGCCAGGCCTGTTGCCAGTCCTCTGACAGGTGGCCCGTGTTCAGGCATTTGTGTTGCTGTTGCCCTACGCATACCCCTGTTGTGCAGCTGGTCTCTGCGTGGGGTCTGGGGCCGCAGGGCGAGCAGTGGTGCCACTGCTCTCAGTAGCCAGCAGACTGTGCTCCGGGAAAACCTGTCAGCTTTAGTTCCTTGTGCGGTGACTCCGGGGGAGAAGCCTGACCACTTCCCTGTGTGCCCTCCCGAGTTCAAGGGGTGTGGGGACCCCATTGTAGTCAGCTGCTTTCAGACATGCCCTCTGCTCAGCCCACCTCTCACATGTCCCCCGGCCTCCTCTTCTCAAGAGTATCTCCCCTCAGACCTGTCCCCATTCCTCCCCGAGACCTGTACTCCCTCCTTAATCTTTGCAGACCCATTCCTCCTCCTCTTCCTCAGGTGCATCCCCCATCTTCTCCTCAGACGTGTCCCCCATCTTCCACCCTCAGATCTGTACCCCCTCCTTCCCCCAGAGCTCCCCTCCCTCCTCCCCTCAGGCGTGTCCCCCCCAGGCGTGTTCCCCTCCTCCCCTCAGACTTGTCCCCCTCCTCCCCTCAGATGTGTTCAGCCTCTTCCCCCGTTAGGTGTGTCCCCCTCCTCCCCTCAGGCGGCCCCTTTCCTGTTCCCTCAGCAGTTGACTGGATGTTGCCCCTCGTAGGCTGGGTCATGGATCTTCATGATTGACTGTCCTCACAGGTGATCAACACAGGGATCAAGGTCCTGTGTCGTAACAACAGCGGGGAGCACTTGGACTGCGCCTTCCGGCTCGCTCAGGAGGTAACACAGGCAACGGGCTGACAGCACTTCCCTCAGGAAGGTAGCACATGGAACACAGCGCTGGCCGACCTCCAGGCATCCTGCCTGCTCCCTGTGTTAGTCTTTGTTGCCCCCTGTCGCTCCCGCTCTTTGCTTTCACGGGATTCAAGCCAGAGGGTGCACACAGCACAGAGATTCTGGGCCCCTGGCCCCAACCACTGGGTGTCTGCCCTCTGTCCCGGCCTCTGCGGGGGTCAGGACACTGGCCCTGACTGCCGGGTGTCTGCCCTCTGTCCCGGCCTCTGCGGGGGTCAGGACACTGGCCCTGACCGCCGGGTGTCTGCCCTCTGTCCCGGCCTCTGCGGGGGTCAGGACACTGGCCCTGACCGCCGGGTGTCTGCCCTCTGTCCCGGCCTCTGCGGGGGTCAGGACACTGGCCCTGACCGCCGGGTGTCTGCCCTCTGTCCTTGGCCTCTGAGGGGGATCAGGACACTGGTCCTTGTGTCCCCACCTCCTGGTCCCTTTTACAGTGACCACAGTCAGGAGTGGAGCATTGGTGATCCTGTCACCTCTCCGTAGGCCTCTTCTTGCCTTCCCAGTCATTTGGGCAAGGCTTCCAGCTTGCCTTGGAGCCTCCCAGCCCTGCCCAGTGCTGTGCCTGGTGAGATGGCTCCTGGCCCCCTTGTGCAGGGTGAGGGGGTGGCAGTCACTAATGGCGCTTCATTCTTGTAGGGCATATACACACTGTATCCGTTCATCAAGTCCAGGATTGTCACCGTGTCCATGGAAGACGTGGTAACACTGCTGACCCAGGAAAATCCATTTTTCAGGAAACTCAGCAGTGAGACATACAACCAGGCCAAGACCATGGGTGAGTGCAGCGTCAGCACAGCCCCCTCATGGGCGCCGCGGCCACATGCTTCGCTGCACTGTCGTGTTCTCCTGTCTGCTGCATCAGTGTGTGGAGGGCTTTGCAGGGACGTGACTGATGGGGCGCTGGATATATTAAGGTCGAAAGTGGATCTGGGGATTGCTTTATTGTGAAAGGTCTCTGGTGGCCCAGAGGGTTAAGTGTTTAGCGGTGCACAGGTAGGTTGGCGGTTGGTTGACGTGGTGGAGCCGGGGGAGGCAGGCCTGGTAATCTGGAGCATGTCTGCTCGGTCTCAGTGGTGGCCTTGAGCTGGAAGTGACCTGGAAGCAGGGGCTTTGTTTTTGTTTGTACCTCCCCAGGAGTCTCTCCTACAAACGGTTAACACACTGCCTGCTGGCTCACTGTTGGCCAGAAGCCTGCAGGCTTGAGCCTACCTGGAGGTGTCTTGGAGGAGAGGCCTGACAGTCATAGTCTTCCTCTAAAAGATAAGCCCCTGCTGACCCTGTGGAACACGATCTGCTCTGACACATGAGGTCACCCTGGGTCAGGTTGGCCCCGTGGCATGCTGCCTCCCCTGGCCGAGCTCCAGCACTGCTGGCATCCCAGGGCGGTCTGGGCGGGCGTCATAGCCACCAGCTAGAGCTCTTGAGCTTTCTCTCTGCCCCACGTCCCAGGGAGAGGCCCGCGTGGGGACACAGTGGCTGGGTCTCAGGGCTCCGGGTCTTCTGTGCTGTAAGGACACGAGCAGTGAGACATACAGCCAGGCCAAGGCTATGGGTAAGCGTGGAGTCAGCACAAGAGGCCTCTGGCGTTGCGTCTGGTTGCATTGGCGTGTTAGTCGAGACAGCCTGTCCTGCAGGGGCCCAGTGGTGGTACTAGTGGCCAGAGCGGTGCCCAAGGGAAGCAGAGGATTCCTGCCTACAGTCCTGAGACACCACGCTCCTCCATTCTCCTGTACTTTTTATAACTGATGGTTTAGAGGTTCAGGTCCCATTGATGCTCAGTATGTGATCAGTGGGCACGGCTGTGTCATACAGGGGACAGGCCGCGGGCTCTGGTCCTTTCTCCGTGTTGTCAGTCAGAGGCCAGGAGGCAAGTAGGTCGGGCCACAGGGTCTGGCTTCATCTGTTGTCTCCTTAGACAAGAACCCTGACCCAGAGGAGAGGAGATCTACACGGACAGTGAGCTCTGGGGGCTTGGCTCCGGTCTTGCATTCTGACATCTGCACTGTGACCTTGGACAGTTTCTTTTGTGGTGATTCGTGCCATTCTGGGAGCTGGAGCTCTTCATTTAATCTCTGCTTGACAGAAGCAGCGTTGATCCCCAGCCGTCTGCCCCTGGTGGTGACCTGCCAGGTGGACCAGCTCTGGCTCGGTCCTTTCCTTGTCTTCACCACAGCCCTGGACGCTCTGCTTCTGGCTGCCCTTATACAGTTACCAGGCCTCTCTGCACCCAGGTCCTCGCTGGCCAAGGGTGTAGATTGTCGTTCTAATTCCTCAACACATTGAGCCAATACTGGCTTCCAGAATGTGCTCAGCAAATGTATCCCCACCTGGGACACTGAGCAAGCCTTCTCTGTTTCTCTTCCAGTGAAAGGAAGCATCGTCTTGAAGTATGAACCAGACGCCAGGTAAGTAAACGTGTCCTGTGTGAGCCGGGCGGGAACTCTGGGGCATTCTGTGCGAGTGAGCGCGTGTCCCGTGTGAGGTGGGCAGGAACTCGGGCGTTCTGTGCGAGTGAGCGCGTGTCCCGTGTGAGGCAGGTGGGAACTCCGGGGCGTTGGGTGCAAGTGAGCACTTGTCCTGTGTGAGGGAACTGCAGGGCATTCTGTGTGAGTGAAGCATGTCACATGTGAGCTGGGTGGGAACCCCAGGGCGTTGGATATGATTGAGCACGTGTACTGTGTGAGGCAGACGGGAACTCCGGGATGTTGGATGCGAGTGAGCACGTGTGCTCTATGAGGTGGGCGGGAACTCCGAGGCATTCGGTGTGAGCCAAAGTGTGTCCTGTGGGTCGGCAGGAATGCATGGGTGTTCATTGTCCTCGTGGTGGACAATACGGTAGAATAATTTCAGAAGCCTTCTGTGGATACTCCCCTGAAACAGTGTGTGGACACATGAGTGCTGAGGTGACAGTACATGTGTCATTGGTATCGGGCTCAGCTGATGCATCTTGGTGGTGCCTGAAGTGTGTGTAGTACTTCTAAACACTCTTTAGGAGTTGAATTCCAGATTTTGTCTTGGACAAAAATAACCCTGTTGGTGCATGTCAGAGGTTCTTGTCATTTGGTCCTTGGTGGGCCATTTCTGTTGGTGGCCTGTCACTTGAGTGGCTGGGGCATGGGATTGACGGTGATCGGGTCCTGACAGGAGCCTGTTTTACAGGAAACCAGGAACCCTCCAGTGTCCCATTGTCATGTGTGGATGGCGTGGAAAGACCTCCTTCCGCACTTTTGTGCCCAAGAACGAGCGGCTGCATTATCTCAGGATGATGGGGGTGGAGGTGCTGGGAGACAAGAAGAAAGAAAGGCTTGTCCTCACCGATGAGAGCACTGCTGGTGGTGGGCCAGCAGAGACCAAGATGCAGGCGGAAGAGGCCAGTGAGCCAGACGGGGCTGCAGGCAGTGACGTGACTACAGATGACGGCCCAGATGGGACAGCAGGCGGTGGTACGGCTGGGGACGGCAGCCCAGGCAGGGCAGTGGGCGATGATGCACCTGGGAACGGCAGCCTAGATGGGGCAGCAGGTGGTGATGCGGCTGAGGACAGCAGCCTAGATGGGACAGTGGGTGGTGACGTGGCTGGGGGCAGCAGCCCAGACAGGACAGCGGGCGGTGATGCATCTGGGGATGGCATGTCCCAGTAAGAAGGGGGCTGCCAGGGAGAGCACAGCCAGGCTTGGGGGTGGCGTCACTGTTCTACGGCTCAGACCACACGCAGGCCTCTGACCGGAAGGCAGTGGTGGGAGGAGCAGAAATGGGCAGGTGGGAGGCAGTCTCTGCGCGGCTCTGTGCCCAGCGTGGACCTCCAGCTGCTTGGACGGCCGGTCCTGTTTGCTTCATCTGCCCATGCTGGGTATTGTGTGCCTAATGCTGGGAACAGGCCTTCGCCGGTGGAGTCTTCAAATTCTACCAGGAAATAAAACTGCTGACAGTTTCAGGCCCCTTTTGCTACCTTAGAGTTCAGTCCTTTAAAAGATGGTTATTTATAGAGAAAATCTATCGCTCCTCATGAACTCGGGGAAGACTGCCCTGTGAGCTTGAATCATGGCGTCAGGTCGCACCCGCCAGCGTGATGCACGTTTGGAGGGGAGTGTCTGGGGGCTGTGGGGTGGCAGTGCCTGTTGTGACCCTGGTCACTAGGGCCCTGTGCTGTGGCCAAGTGCAGGGCTTTGCAGCTGTTCTCACAGAGGAACTTGGAGGAGCAAATAAAGAGATACCACAGAGTGTCTGCGTCGTGTGTCGGACTCTTGCTCTCACTCCTTGTGGAGTGCAGAGAAGCAGCTTGCTTTTCGTGGAACAGAAGAGGGAAAGCATCTTGTGGTAGCTAGTAAGGAGCCCTGGGGCAAGCGATTAAGTGCTCGGCTGCTAACCAGAAGGTCACTGGTTCAAACTCACCGTCACTCCGTGGGGGAGATGATTGGTTCAAACTCACCGTCGCTCCCTGGGAGAGATAGGAGGCAGTCTGCTTCTATAAAGACTGACAGCCTTGGAGACCCTGTGTCTTCCAGGGGCGCTGAGTCAGAATTGACTCCGGACAGTGGTTTCTTTATCTTAGCTGGTAAAGTTCACGGGAAGTCCCCAGCATGAAAACACTTGGAGGACTTCCCAGAGGCTGAATCTGTCAGCCTGGAGGGTAAGGGTCTCATGGAAGGCTGTCCGTGTAGGGGCCTGGCAAGCCCCCGGTGCGTGTTCACACGGCGTATGCTGCAGCCAACACAGGGAAAGAAGCTCACTGTCACTGCCAGAATCGAGTGATTGTCAAGATGGTTACAAGGAAGACAAGGTGCGGGGACATGGACCCATTGGGTTGCACATATGCAACAGGGACACGCAGCGCAGGGGCGTGGGCCTCCTGGGAGACACACACACTCAGCCCTGCTTCTGCATCTGCGTAGAAGGGCCCCAGAAGGACACACAAGACACTGGCCCTGAAGAGCAGCTAGGTGGCTTGGCCGGTGGTGGGGGAGAGATGTTGAATATTGGGCCATGGGAATGTTGACCGATACAGTCAATGAGGGTGTATGAATGTGAGCCTGGAGTCAGGTTCCTTCTGGGGACCATACCCAGGGGCTTGTGTACACGTGCACATGTTTTTATCAGACAATGGGGACCCATGCTTAACACTTAGGGATGGGATGGTGCTGCCACCCACGCAAGCTAGGGCTCCACTCTGGACTGCGCTGTGCGTCTGCCCAGGCGAGGGCTGCATTTGCAACGGCACTCTTTTGGTCCATGCTCCTAGGTTAGGGCTGCGTTTGGGAAGGTGCTCTGTTACCTGCCTAGGCTAGGACTCCTTGCCGGGAGTGGTGAGTAGCTTGGTGGGGAGGCTAGAACCTGGCTCGTGCTGAGCCATTAGTGTCATGTCTTCTCCACTGTGGTCGGCAGCCTCCAGAGTGGCTCATGGGCCCTGTGTCTGGTGCCCATGTCCCGTGGGGTGACTGGTCCGCCTGATTTGCTTCTAATGCCGAGAATACAGCAGAAGTGACACATGTCACCTCCAAGGGGAGGTTATCGAAGCCTGACTCCCACTTGCTGGTCCTCTTTCTGACTGTTGGGGGCCGTGCCCTGGGTCAGCGGTCTGCTGGGAGCACTCAGGGATGTGGCATGGAGTCGTACTCCCAGCTGTGAAGTGTGATGACAACAGCAAGAGGACAGCACACTCAGCAAAAGAGCCTGTGGGTGTGTCCAGGGGAGATGGGGTGCGAGCATCTGAAATTCTCTCCCAGTGCATGGGATAGGATTCAGGTTAAGGGGTGGGAGGCAGGCAGGCCCCAGCCCCCAGAACCAGGAAAGAGGAAGAGCACCGGGGACCACAAAAGCTGTAGTGTCCAGGAGAGGGGCTCAGGATCCAAGTAAGGGGGGGAAAGGCAGGCAGGCACCAGCCCCCAGACCAGGAAGGGAGGAGAGCGCTGGGGACCACAGAAGCCACTGGATCCAGGTAGGAATCAGGTAAGGGGAGGACGGAGAGGCTTCCAACAGCTAAGGGAGACAAACTTGTCTATTGGTTTGTTACACTGTGTGGCTTGTGTGTTGTGAGGCTATGCCACTGGACTTTCAAATGCCAGCGCGGTTGCACATGGTGCACAGGTTTCAACACAACTTACAGACTCAGACAGGTTAGGAAAAAGGAGGAGGCCATCCACTTCTCAAAAATTTCACCAGGGAAAATCTTATGAATAGCAGAGAAACACTGTCTGACAGGTTACCGGGTAATTTAATGAATAGCTTGGAAACATTGTCTGAAACAGTGCAGAAGACCAGCCCCCTTGAGTCGGAAGGCACTCAGAAGACGACTGGGAAAGAGCTGCTGCATCAGAGTAGAACCAACCTTAATGATATGGATAAAGTAAATCTTTTGGGACCTACATGTGCTGACGTGACACAACTGAAATTGAGAAGAAACCACAAACATCCATTAATAATCAGAACGTGAAATGTATGAAGTATGAATCTGGAAAAATTGGAAGTTGTCAGAAATGAAATGGAATGCATGAAGATCGATGTCCTAGGCATTAGCTGAAATGGATGGGTTTCATCCATTCAAAAGATGTTTCAAGATCTGTCCTGAAATACAATGCTGTCAGTGATAGGATAATATCCATATGCCTACGAGGAATACCAGTTATTACTATTATTCAAATCTGTGCACCAACAACCAAAGTCAAAGAGGAGGAAATTAAAGATTTCTATCAGCTTCTGCAGTCTGAAATTGACCGAACATGCAATCAAGATGTGTTAATTATCACTAGTGACTGGAATGTGAAAGTTGGAAATGAAGAGTCACTGGTAGTTGGAAAATTTGGCCTTGGTGACAGAAATAATGCTGGAGATCACATGATAGATTTTGCAAGATCAATGACTTATTCATTGCAAATATCTTTTTTCAACAACACAAACAGCGACTCTACATGTGGACTTCACCAGATGGAGTACACAGGAATCAGATTGTGTACATCTGGCAAGAGGCAATGGAAAAGCTCAATATCTTCAGCCAAAACAGGCCAGGAGCTGATTGTGGAACAGACCATCAACTGCTCATATGCAAGTTCAACTTGAATCTGAAGACAATTAAAACAAGTCCACGAGAGCCAAAATATGACCTTGAGTATATCCCTCCTGAATTTAGAGACCATCTAGAGAATAGATTTGATGCATTGAATACCAATGACCAAAGACCAGAAGAATTGTGGGATGACATCAAGAACATCATCCATGAAGAAAGCAAGAGGTCATTAAAAAGATGAGTAAAGGAGAAAAGACCAAACTGGATGTCAGAAGAGACTCTGAAACTTGCCCTTGAGAGAAGAGTAACTAAAGCAGTTGGAGGAAATGACAAGATAAAAGAACTGAACAGAAGATTTCAAAGAGCAGCTTGAGCAGACAAAGCCAATTACTATAATGAAAGGTGCAAAGACTTGGAGTTAGAAAACCAGAAGGGAAGAACACACTTGGCATTTCTCAAGCTGAAAGAACTGAGGAAAAAATTTAAACCTCGAATTGCAATACTGAAAGATACTATGGGCAAAATACTGCATGATGCAGGAAACATCAAAAGAAGATGGAAGGAATACACAGAGTCATGGTACTAAAAAGAACTGGTCGATCATGCATTTCAGGAGGTGGCAAATGTTCAAGAACCAATGGTACTGAAGGAAGAAGTTGAAGCTGTACTGAAAGAACTGGTGAAGAACAAGCCTCCAGGAATTGACAGAATACCCATTGAGATGTTCCAATATTTGGATGCTGCACTAGAGGCACTCACTCAGTTATGCCAAGAGATTTGGGAGACAGCTACCTGGCCAACTGACTGGAATAGATCCATATGTGAACCCATTCCAAAGAAAAGGTGATCCCACAGAATGGAAATTATCGAACAATATCATTAATATCTCATGCAAGTAAAATCTTACTGAAGATAATTCAGAAATGGTTGCAGCAGTATATTGACAGAGAACTTCCAGAAATGCTGGCTGGATTCAGAAGAGGACATGGAACAAGGGGGATATCATTGCTAATGTCAGTGGATCTTGGCTGAAAGCAAAGAATACCAGAAAGATGTTTACTTGTGTTTTATTCACTGCAAAAGCATTTGATTGTGTGGATCCTAACATTGTGGATAACATTGAGAAGAATGGGAAGTCCAGAACACTTCATTGCACTCGTGAGGAACCTGTACGTAGACCAGGAGGCTGTTGTTCGAACATAACAAGGGGACACTGCATGGTTTAAAATCAAGAAGGAGTGCATCAGGGTTGTGTCCTTTCACCATACTGATTCAATCTGTATGCTGGACAAATAATCTGAGAAGCTGGACTATATGAAGAGAAACATGGCATTAGGATTGGAGGAAGAATCATTAACAACCTGCAATATGCTGACAACACAACTTTGCTTGCTGAAAGTGAGGATGACTTGAAGTACTTACTGATGAAGATTGAAGAATAGTCTGCAGTATGGATTACATCTGAATATAAAGAAAACAAAAATCCTCACAACTGGACCTATAAGCAGCATCACAATAAATGGAGAAAAGGTTGAAGTTGTCAAAGACTTCACATTGCTTGGTTCTACAATCGACACCAGTGGAAGCAGCAGTCAGGATATTAGACGACGTATAGCACTGGGCAAATTGGCTGCAAAGGAC